TTCAGGTTGGTAATGCCAACGCAAAAGCCAACCTATTTTTGCTTCACGCCGGCATGCAACTGCTGACCTAAATCTTTGTAACAAGTAGCAAAAGTAATTTTTTTGTCCACCTGACAAATATTTATTATTTTGATAAATAAAAAAATGATAATTTTGAAATAGACAAAATAAAAAAATAAAAACTAAGAAAAATTTAAGAAGATTTTTTCTTATATAAAAAGATGTTCATCAAAGTCTTTTAGATCTTTTTAGTCTAATAGACTCCATAAAATTGCCACATTTTTTTCGACGGAAGCCAAAAAATGTGAATAATGAACTTGTTAAGTGGAAAGCTCAAGAGCACAAGTATTTTCTATTGTATTATGGGCCATTTGTATTTTACAAACTTGGTAATGCTGAAATTTGTTCTCTTTATTTAATGCTTTCAACATCTATTTATACATTATCCAATGAAATTGTTTCATCAAATGATATTGATGCTTGTCAGCAACTAGTTTATTTATTTCAAAAGGCATTATGCTCCTATTTCGGTGAAGGTGTTCGCACATTCACTTTTGATGCATTAGCGCATCTCTCTGACCAGATAAAAAATTTTGGACCTCTTACAGCAACGTCTGCTATGGTGTTTGAAAATGTAAATCGCCAACTAAAGAGGTTTGTTACAGGAACTAAAGGCCATGGAAGGCAAATGGCTGAAAAATTTATTAGATTTCAGACAGAAGACCACTTAAATACTTTTTCTTTGAATCCTTTTGTGTTAGGTGCAGCACAAAATATATCAGATAAGTTACGGAATATGGATTTGAATGATTTAAATGTTGACCTAAATCTTTATCAGTTTTATAACCGTTTTAGAGTTGCTGATAGAACTTTTCATGCTTATCATTATGGTAAAAAATTAAAATCAGCTTCATATTATGCATATTTAATAGAATTTAACGTGATTGTGAAAGTTTTGTTTATTGCACATAACCAAAGACAAATCTTGTGTATATGTCGATTGTATAAAAATGTAAGTAAGTTTCATCGTCATATGGGTTCTTTTAATATTCCTATCAAAATCAAGCATGTTTTGTCAAAAATATCTCCTTATTTATTGTTGAAAAAGTGTGGATTAGCTGTTTTTGATTCAAGCAAATTTACTCACTACGCTCTTGTAAAAAAAACAAAGAAATTTTATTATAGCGTTGTTATTCAAAATAATTATGAACATGGTTTTGTTTCTATTTTTTAAAGTTTGAAATTGTATTATGTTTTTTTGTATTATTATATATTTACTTTACAATATTCTTTTTATTAGAAGTTGTTATTTAGGATTCTGTTTGCAATCAATTAATTAATGAAACATAAAACTTAATTCATAATGGCGACAAGAGTTTGTTGTTTACAATGATCTAAATCAGATTTCTTAACAGGTAGATACGATTAATATCTATTAAATTAATTATTATTTTAGATACAAATATTAATTGTTTTTCGTCAACTGTAAATTTTCCTATTTTTATATGTATATAAAAATAATATGTGTATATATATGTGTATATACATGTATATATATATATATATATATATATATATATATATATATATATATATATACACACACACGAGGTTTATTTAAATTTTTTTAATTTAACTTAGTTTCATATTTTCATACACTTTTATTTTGAAATTTTAGATTATAATAGCTTTGAAACAATGATAATGAAAGTTTTTTCATCGTTCTAAATTTATGGTAAGTTAAATATGCTTTTTTGTTATAAAATATATGTTATTATGTTGTTGAATTACATTAATATTTTTATAAATTACGTTATAGCTACAGTTATGGTCGTAAAAGATTAAGAAAAATCTTATGGGTGCAATTATTCCACTGACACCTGCGAAAATTACCAAAAGAACTGACCATCGCTGTTTATTGTATTTTTTTAAAATGTTCTATTTAAACAATCTAACACTTAATTATTTGTTATTTTTATTATTGTTTTATAAATAGGCGTCCTTATTGCTTAGCGACTATTTAAGTTATATTATAAGGATTATATTTTCAAGAAGATTCTGTGTTTAAGTAAAAATTATTATTTTTACTTAAACTCGTATATTTCTTGAAAAATAAGCCTACTAAATATCTATGAAATCTTTAAAACTCAAATAATTAAATAAAACCCTAATAAACATATGAATTTAACTAAAAAAACTATTAACTAAAACTAGAAAGTAATACTTAACCGAGAAAAAAAAACCTACTAACCCTGTTAAGTACCTACTCAGTTCCGAGTAAAAACCCTAGTAATACTACTAAGTTTCCTTCTAAAAACTTGCTAATCCTACTAAGTTTCCTACTAAAAACTTGCTAATCCTACTAAGTTTCCTACTAAAAACTTGCTAATCCTACTAAGTTTCCTACTAAAACCTGCTAATCCTACTAAGTTCCTAGTAAGTACTCGGCGGGAACTTACTAAGTTTTAGTAGGAAACTTATTAGGAACTTAACAGGATTA